GGCAAGAGGGAAAGCCAAACTGAAGGGAGAGAAAAAGCAGAGCCTGCAAAAACACCAACAGCCATCAGAGCTGAGCAAGATGTCAGAGTTTTAACAGTAAGTCTCGGGATACATGGTGATATACAGATTATTAGAAATTGGTTTCTAATTATATGTAGAGCTAGCCAGTAAGAAACCTGAGCTAATAGGTCAAGCAGTTTGTAATTAATATTAAGCTTCTGGTGGTTATTTTAAAAGCAGCTGCACGACCAAGCAGGATGAGAAACGTCCAGTTATAGCAGTTATAGTATGTGGTACTTTCAAAATAATAGTTTTTAAGACTCTTTTTTTTATAAAATATTTATTTATTTATTATGTATACAACATTCTGTCTGCATGGTATGCCTGCAGGCCAGAAGAGGGCACCAGATCTCATTACAGATGGTTGTGAGCCACCATGTGGTTGCCGGGAATTGAACTCAGGACGTTTGGAAGAGCAGGCAATGCTCTTAACCACTGAGCCATCTCTCCGGCCCAAGACTCTTTTTCTTTTGAGGCAGGGTTTCTCAGTAGCTTTGGAGCCTGTTCTGGAAGTTGTAGACCAGGCTGGCCTCGAACTCACAGAAACCCTCCTGTTTCTGCCTCCTGAATGCTTGGATTAAAGGCATGCGTCACCACCACCCAGCTTTAAGACACTTCTAAAGGAAACAACTTGACCAAAAATCTACCACAGAATTTTAAGATTCAATAAAATGAGTTTAATGTAGAAAAAAACATTAGTCTAGAATACATAAGATTTTAATTTATCAGAAAATTTATCTAAAGTTCATTTTGAAGAACTAAAACTTTAGAAGAAGGACCAAATAATCTCAGAGCTGTACTGTGATACAGGCAAAGGCAATAGCAATCACTATCTAAGGGCAAGACAGCCTAGATTTATATGTAAATATCTAGTAATATTCTCAAAATGGCATTAGTTTAATAGTTCAACTCAATACTGACTTTGTAAAAACTAAGTCTTAAGGATGATTCCAGGTGATATCCTCTCTACACTGGTTCTTAGCCATCTAGACTTTTCCATCTCCTGACTCCTGTGACGAGAGATGCAATTAGCGTGAATGAGCAAGTATCTATAGCAGAATATGGAGTCCTCTGGCTATACGCCCAGAGGTATCGCTGGATCATGGGATGGTCTATGAAATCCACACTGATAGGAGCTACAGCAGTTTGCATTCCGACAGCAATGAATAGGTATTACCTTTCCCCATATCCATGCCAGCATTCAGGGTCACTTGTTTTGACCTCGGGCAGTCTGAGTGGGTAAGATGAAATTTTAAAATAGTTTCAATTTGCATTTCTCTTATGACTAAATACGTCAAATATTTTAAAACTGTTTCTCTGTATTTGTATTTCTTCTTTTGAGAGGTATTTAATTCCTTTCTACAACATGTGGGGTGTGTGTATGTGTGTGTGTGTGTGTGTGTGTGTGTAGTTGGGTTTTTTTGTTGTTTTGTTTTGTTTTTTGAGTTCTTTGTATGTTCTGGATATTAACCCTGTGTCAGATATGAATCAAGTAAAGATTTTTCTCTGTCCCAAACCTGATACCTCTCATTGTTCTCTATTTTCCCACAATACCTTACAACTCATCCATCAGGAAATCATAGTCTCATATCTAAAAATTTAATCATTATGGCTTCTAAACCATTTTACTGATTGGTTTACTTCTAAACCATTAGTTTACTGAACTAACCAATCAACTATTCAACCTGTTTCCATTTCTGACCCCTATCAGTTATTTTCATATAGTAACCAAAGGAATCCTTTTAAAATATAAGTCATGCCAAGTATCTACTCAAATCCTCTAGCATCATCTTCAACCATACTTTGTAAATCCACACTTGACACCATGGCAAACAAGACTAGTTTGGTTCCTCACTATCCTCAGTACACTGGTCATACTATTTTCCAAATAGGTCAAGTAGACAAACCTGCACATGGTATTTGCTCTGCTTGGAACACTCTTCCCTCATTCTGCTGAAGTCTTCTGTCTTACTTTATCAAGACCTCTTCTTTTTAGTAAACAGACCTTCCTTGCCCATTCTATTTTTAAAAGGGGTAGGGGAGGGGGAGGCTGGAGAGATGGCTTAGAGGTTAAGACCACTGGCTGTTCTTCCAGAGGTCCTGAATTCAATTCCCAGCAACTACATGGTGTCTCGCAGCCATCTACAATGAGATCTGCTGCCTTCTTCTGGTGTGCAGGCATACATAGGTGAAGAATTGAAAGAGAAAGACAGAGAGACAGAGAAATGGGTGGCTAGATACTTACACTACTGCACTTTTCTTGTTATTTTCCATTTTATTATTTTTTTCCTTAGTTAGAATGTAAGCTGAATGGGAGCCATGTCTGTCATCCTCAGCCACTTCATTTGTACATTATTATTCCTAAGCCTTATTAAAATATTAGTAAAAGCATTAAACTAGTAACTGAAAGTAAAATTATGAACTTAAAATACCATAGCCAGTACCATACAGTCATGTATCACTTAAAGATGCTTTTAAAACATATTTTTCATTACACATGTTTTTTAAAATACATTTTCAGGTAATCTGTTGTTTCATGAATATAACAGAGTACAGTTACACTAAGATATCTACATCATCCTTAGGCAATAAGGTCTTACAGAATCACCATCAGATGTTTAACATGTTCACAACCAAAGACATACTGTATAACCAGTGACCATATTTTTTAGCCATTCAATCAAAAATGTGGAATCATGTTCTCATTAATATGAGATATACACTAATATATATTATATATAATAACATATACTATACAATATAATAACAAATTTATAGCTATTTTATGTGTATGAGTCTTTTACCTGCATGTATGTATATGAGTGTCTGATGCCTGTGGAGGTCAGAAGAGGGCATCAGATTCCTTAGACCTGGAGCTACTGTGGAACTGTAAACAGACAGTTGTGAGCTGCCATCTAATGTTTGGAATTGAACTCTGGTTCTCTGCAAGAGTAACAAGTACTCTTAACTGTTAAGCCATTTCTCCAGCCTCTTCTGAAATTTTTAATTTATTGATTGCAGTTAAGTTTTTATAATTTGAGAGATTCATAGAGATGGCTCAGAGGTTTAGAGCATAGGCTGCTCTTGCAGAGGATCCAGGTTCAGTTTCTAGTACCCACATCATGGTTCACAAACATCTGTAATTCCAGTTTCAGTCAATATTTCACCTTTTCTGATGGCCACAGATAGATACCAGGCACACAAAGAGTACAGCTATGCATGCAGTCAAAACATTCATACATATAAAATAATCTAAAAAAATTTAAGGAATCTTTCCTTTCAAATCTGTTTTAAAACATCAAACAATCCTTTCTTCACTTTTTTTTTTTTGGTGGGGGGGGAAGGTTCAAGACAGGGTTTCTCCTTTTAACAGCCCTAGTTGTCCTGGAACTGGATTTTGTAGACTAGGCTGGCCTCCAACTCACAGAGATTCACCTGCTTCTTCCTCTGCCTCCTGGGTGCTGAGATTAAAGGCATGTGCCACCACTGCCCGGCTTCTTCACTAATCTTATAGACGCCACACAGAAGACGGATTTTCCTTATTTGATAAATATTCCAAGTACAGTTACTTTTCATTTAAATAAAACAATGTGGCAAAAAATGAGTATTTTTAAAATACTTTATGACCCATTTTTCTTTATCCTTGATGTGCATGCAATGGAAAAACAGTAGGAGGCCTATATTTTATATGGAAACCCATATTATATTAAACAATAGAATTACAGAACTATTATCTTGTAACTTAAATCACATTTGATTTCAAGGAGCGACCAAGGGACTGAAATATGAAGAGAATAGCTGCATTTTTAATTAATCCATCATAGATTACACCTACCGGATCTTACACAAGTTTATGTTGACTTAATCTACTAAGAAGTTAAAACAAATTGTGGGTGCTTCGGTCCTCTTCTAAAGAGATGCAGTAGCTAGAAAAAGATTTCTAGTACAAAAAAATACTACCAAAAATTGGAAACACCTATATTTTAAAGATTTCTATTATGAAACCTAACTTTTGTTATTATGTATGATAGTTATTTTTAAACTATAAATATGAATTTACTGTGTTTATCTTTTCAGAATTTAAAATTGTCTCTTATCTTACATTGAGGAAAAAGGTGATTCTTTCTGTTTATTATTATAGCTAACACAAACACATGGAATGACTCAGGAGTTTACAAATCTAAAATCCAAAATGAAGTATCCGATTTAAGCAAGAATATCACAAAGCTTAACATCCCAAAGTATCACCTCTCAGATTATTCACTAAAGAAAAGCGAGGGGTTGTTTCTTCATAGTATTTCGGGTTTAGTTAAGTCCCATTCACAACTTCACAAATGGTGACAGTAAGAGCCTTCTGATGCAATGCAGCATGAAGTCACAGCACTACCTATTCTGTTCTGTACCTCAACAACATCACATCTCTACAGTGAACTCCTACTTTATAAGAAACAGGAGAAGAAGATAATGTCTTAAGAAAATGTTTGTAAACCATGGTGTATTCTCTGAAGCATATCGATAACATTAAAAACAGGGGAAAATTCCAGATTGAGAGAAACTAAAAACATGTAACAACAAAATCCAAATTAATAACCTTGATTGGATCATGATTCAAAAAAACTATACAAAACACAACGGCAGACCAGATTTAACAGGCTAAAGAAAATGAGGCCTGAACTATCATGATATTTACAGCTTACTGTCAATGTATCAGCAAACAGTAATAATAATAAATGATAAATATGCAAATCTGTATATGTATGTATGTATGTATGTATGTATATGGGGAAACACCCACATACATAGATACAGAGAAGCTAAAATGTGGTCTGTTGCTTCACACTGTTAAATTCAACATCCTACTTGGCAAATTTTCTACAAGCATGAAAATTTCTGAAAAAGCAGTTGCTAAACTTTCCCATCTAAAGATCACATAACAGTACCTGGTTCTTGAATGACATCCACCTTTCCCACACTGATCTGAAGTGTTTCTCCATTCTTTGCAAAAGTCTCCCATTCAGAATCAGTCTGCTGGCAAGATGGACACCAGGGGGCATAACTGTAAAATCAGAAGAACTACTAATCAACACAAAATATGTGGAGTAAAATCTCTAAACAAAATTAATAGACTATTCAAAAATAAATTCCTAACAAAAGGGGAGAATAAAAGCAAGCTGTCTAAAGTCATTTGACACATAAAAACAAGAGTGTATTTCCTTCTTATGATTCTATATACAAATATTAATTCTATCAAAAAAGGAGAATTTTTTTTCAAGAATTATCTTAACATATAAAACATTTCCTCCATGTGATTTTTATAAATGAATCAAGTTTTATCCCTTTCAAGGAAGCTTTGATCTCTGAGGCAAGTATATTCTGAGTACTCAAAGTAAAATAACTTTCAAGGATGTACCAGTACTAGCCAAGCTAATTCCAGATCTCTCAGAGCTACAAATGCAATAGGCAGAGACCAGAGACCTGTCACTACTGGGTCCCCTAGCATCTTTCCAAGTTTGTAAAGACCTGTGAAAGTTCTTACCTTTTCCAAAAAGAGAAAAGCTACCCAACATTTTTTTTCTAAATAAAAAGTTAAAAATATCTGGGCCTTCAAGCCATAACTGCATTTTACAAGGACTTTTCAACTAGAAACAAGCAATGATGTCTCATATAGGTCTGCAGAGAAAGGAACATCTATGGTAAGACCTTAGGGAACAAACAGCCAAGAAAGGGTCAACAAATGTTCCAATGTACCAGGGAAATGATATATGTAAAGAGTCTGGCACAAAGTAAGAGAAGTGAATACACCTACAACAGCCTTAAAGAAAACCAAGGTAAAACACACAAATGTCTGAGTTTTTTTTTTCTCTCTCTCCCTCTTAGTGTTGAATCTGCTTGTAACGTGTGTGAACTAAATAATTTTCCCAAAACAGTATGTTCAAATTCTAGCTTTGGTGCCTGCAAATCTGACTTTATTTGGAGTAGGGTCTTTACACAAATGACTGAATTAGAGATCCTAGGAATAGATCACCTTATTTAAGGTGGAGCCTACATCTAGTAACAATTCTTTCGAGAGGAAGAAGGAGCTCTGACACAGAGAATAGGAAGAATGCCATACAATCTCGGATGCAAGGGCTGTAGCTAAAGAGACTAAGAAGCACATGAGCACACACCAGTAGCCACAAGAAATTAAGAACAGTACAGAAGGGACAGTCTAACAGTCCAAGGAAAATCAACCCTGATACACCTTGACCCCCGAAGGCCTTTGATCTTCAGAACTACGAAAGAACAAATTTCAGTTCTTTCAAGCCTCCTATGTGGTCTTATATATCTAGATGTCCCTGCATGCTATTACAGCAATCTGAGGGAACTAATGCAGAAAGCAAGATAAAATTTGAAAGAAGGACTTCAATTAAATAAGCCTTATAAGTCTTAAAGCAGTGGTTCTCAATCTTCCCAATGCTGTGACCCTTTAATATAGTTCCTCATGTTGTGCTGACCTCCAACTGTAAAATTATTTTCTTCACTACTTCATAACTGCAATTTTGCTACTATTATGAATCATAATGTAAATGTTTTTTGGAGCTAGAGGTTTGAAAGAGGGGTGGTAATCTACAGATTGAGAGCCACCATCTTAGAGGAATAACCAGGACAGTACTTAATATAAAATATGTGAAAACAACAACAAAAAACAGCATACGGTGGAATTCCACTTGAAAATAATAACATGATATAACTTAAAGAAAAATTAACATTTTTATAATGTCACAAAAGTACACAGCTGCAAGTGAAGAAACATTCTGTGTGGTTTAATGATAATTAAAAGATAAAAGCACTAAAATAAAATGATCATCTTCAAAAACTGGAACAGGATATTCAAAGGAGAAAAAGTCACTGGAAACACTTTGAAAAAGTATTTTAGGATGCTACCAATTAGACATAATTCAGTAAGTTTGCTTAAGTTGAATGTTTAAGACAAAATAAAGTCAAAATATTGAGGAAATAAGTAAAACATTTAAAAAGACTTGATATCACTGTTCCTACACAATGTCATGCCTTTAAACATAGAAACCAAGGGGGAAAAGTGTTAAACTAATCGAACACTAAAGTTTTGTTTTTGTCTTTGTTTTAGGTGTTTATGATAAAGCCTGGGGCAATATGCACAGTCACTGAGTTATACTTTCTTAGCTCTTGAGACACAGCCTCTTTCTATATACAGTTCACGAGAGCCCACAATGGCCTTGAACTCATTTGTAATCTAGGATGGCTTGGAATTAGCAGCCATCCTGCCTCAAAGCTGGCAGAATGTTAGGGTTACAGGAATGTACTCAGCTGCAAGCCCTTTTAGAATTTCATTGTATAAACATTAACTGCTACTTTAAAACACAAGGAAAGCACTAATTAAGTATGCCAAATAACAGAAAATTTAAAATATGAAACTGGGAGACATTTTGATAATTTACATTGTTTAAAAAAATAGGTAAGGATGTTATCCAAGACTAGTCAGAAGTACTTATTTTAGGAAAAATACTAATAATTAGGCCATATCCAGAGGAGAAATTTTACTAAAAATGTTTTTATTCACTAAAAAATAGGCAATTTTTTTGTCTTGGTTCTAATTTCATTAGTATTTTATAGAGCACTCTCTTTTCTGAGCTTTTTGTTGTTGTTGTTGTCACAGAAATTCATTGGATAACAGATATAGACAATTTATTTAGGATTTACTTTAACAAACATTCAGCAGAACCTGTGACAAAGAAGAAAAAAATATACTAGGCTTACTGTTCTACAACAAAAATAAATTAAATTACAGTGTCAACAAACGATACCTTAACTATACCAAACAAGTGTGGTTGGTTTCCTCACTATTTATAGAAGACATTATGTCACAGCAGATGTCCTGATCCTCCGGCTCTTAAAATCCTTCTGCCTCCTCATCTGTGATGATCCCTGAGCCTCAGGTAAAGGGATTATGTTACAGATCTATCAGTTGGGGTTAGGCACCCCACAGTCTGTTGCTCTCTGCATTAAGATCAGTTGTGGATTTCTGTAATGGTCTCCACTGCTGCAAAACGAAGACTCTTTGATAAGGGGTGAGAGATATACCTATCTGTGGACATAAGGATAAGTGTTTAGGATATGCTTAGAAAGAAGATATCTTAATGAAGGGAGCCATTTTTGGGGTGGCAAGAGGTTTAGCTCTAGAGGGGTTCCCAGGTGTCCATGGGGATGTCCCCAGCTAGGACCCTGGGCGGAGGAGAGGGTGTCTGAACTGGCCTTGTCCCATAGTCAGACTGATGACTATCTTGAATATCACCATAGAAACTTCATTGGCAACAGATGGAGATAGAGACAGAGACCCACATGGGAGCACTGGACTGAGCTCCCAAGGTCCAGTTGAAGAGCAGAAGGAGAACATGAGCAAGGAAGTCAGGACCACGAGGGGTTGGTCTACCCACTGAGACAGTGTGACTGATCTAATGGGAGCTCACCAAATCCAGATAGACTGGGACTAAACGAGCATAGCATCAAACTGGACCCCCTGAATGTGGCTGACAATTGGGGCAGACTGAGAAGCCAATGATAATGGCACTGGGATTTGTCTCTACTGCATGTACTGGATTTTTGGGATCCTAGTCTATTTGGATGCATACCTTCCTAAGCCTGGATGGAGGGGGGAGGAACTTGGACTTCCCAGGGCAGGGTACCCTGCCCTCTCTTAGAACTGGAGAGGGAGGGAGAGCAGGAGGAAAGTGGGAGGAGGGGAGGAAGAGGAAATTTTGAATGGTATTATTTATAAAGTAATAAAAAAATAAAGTTTGCCATTATTTAGAAGAAAAAAAAGAAATTATACTGGCTTAGGAAAGTGGCTACTGCAGACTTTCCTCTAGAATCCATAATTCCACCAACATGGCTAATTGGTCAGGTTGACAGTAGTAGGCATAAATCCCTTCTCAAGGCAGAGTGGGCCTTAAGTTTAATTAGATAGCTGCTAGTTAATCCCAAGATACTAGTGTTAACTACTGCATGCTTGGGGCAATCTTGACATGCTGTCATTGTTACAGTCTTAGCTTTATAGCTGGATAGGACTACTACGTCTGGCAGCTGGCATAGCACCTTCAGATACTATGAGACTACTGCTCAGGGAAGAAGCTTGTCAGTTCCAGCTCTATTCTCCCCAATCCTAATTCTAAATTATTTGGTGCCTTCAGCAGCCTAGTCTTACCTTGAAGTTGTGGGAGACAACCAAGGCCAAAAACCATTGCTTAGTATTTTAATCATGCATGTAAAGAATAAAAACTTCAGTTGAATGAAAATCTTAACACTTGTTTGAGTGAGGAACAGGATGCTCCCAAGCATAATGAGCTCCCTGAGACAGGATCAAGCAAAGTAATAATAATAATAATAATAAAATAAACAAATAGAAGATGACACAAGACATTCTTTGATTCTTTGAATAATATTCTTCAAAAAGCTCAATAAAGAAATAATTAAGTTGCATTACTTTTACTTATTCATTCATTTAGTCAAAAACCATTGACCACTTGCTACTTAATAGCAAGGCTCCAGAGTTAATCAGGAAAAAAGAAAATTTTTATTCCCCTATATAAAGTTTACAGTACAGTGGAAAAGTAAAAAAAAAAAAATAATACAAAGATCAAATTTGTACTTAGCAGTTGTGGTCAGAGCCATGTTAGATAAGCAAGGTATTGTCAAAGGGAGGTTTCCTGTAGGGAAGGTAGGACATTTATTCATTTATTCAAATGGTAAGAAGGCTCAAAAATGAGCCTGCAACATGGTCTGTCATCTGCAGAAACTAGAGACGAAAACATGGATGGATCCCCGTTTCCTGAGGAAGAGGACCATCCCTTAAAGGATGCAGATGAGCAGAGCCTAAACCAAAGCAGTCAATCAAGCATTCCCCTTGTACCAAAGAGCTGCCTAGTACAAAATGACAAGTGTTTTATTTAAGACCACTGATAAATGTCTAACAGAAGATGAAACATTCTGTAAGTAGTTACTAAATAGTCAAATGCTACTCACACTACCTCTTTCAGAGCA